TATATATATATATATATATATATATATATGTGTGTGTGTGTGTGTGTGTGTGTGTTTGTGTGTGTTGGGGGGGTTGGGTTCCAGTGAGAAGAGAAGTTATGGTCAGAAACGTAAGAATAAATCTTCACTTTTGGATCAATCCTAATTGAATGTCAACACTAACGAGGTGCATCTTGGATCGATTCTCTTCTAAAGAGCAATTCATAGGTGAGCATGAGATTAAAAGTGATCAAGGGTTCAGATCTTTTCTTACGTTTCTCATCATAACTTCTCTTCTCATACGATCATTCGCTTTTATATATATATATATATATATATATATATAGGGTTGAGTTTCGGTGAGAAGGAAAGTTAAACTGAGAAGCGTAAAAAAAGATTCTCATCCTTGGATACACATTAGAATGAGATGCACCAAGATACAGTGGATCAATCCTTGTATCAAGCACAATTTGTGGGCGTGTATGAGATTAAAGATTATCAAGGGTCCAAATCTCTTATTACACTTCTCATATTAATTCTTCTTCTCACACATACGCATGCACGTGCACACACACGCATGCATGCGCACACACACACATTATTTGTTGAGAAATCTATTTTTATGTCAAAGGACTTATTTTTTAAGATTACAATATGAGTTTTGCTTTATGTTTATTTATTTATTTTAAAATCATATTAAATTATATACTGAAAATATATAAAGTAAGGGGTTGTTTGGTAATAATTTAATGGGTTGTTAAGTCTGTATGACTTATTTGGTCAGTTATACATTTGTGTTCGTTTATGGCTCATTCACTCAGCCAGAAAAGTAGAGTCCTATGGACTCAACCAGGAAAGTAGAGTCCTATGGACTAAGCCATTTATTCATCTCCTTATTCCAAGTTTGCCCCTTCATATTTCTAGAATCCCCCCCCCCCCAAATCCCAACTTCTCTCCTTCATCGTGTTTGCTTTCTTGGTCCAAGCCTCTATCTCCATCGATATGTAGTTGCTTCTTCCTCACTATCTAGAACCATCGTTGACTGTTGCTTCTTCCATCGTTGGTCGTTGCTTCTTCCTCCATTGATCTCATTTCTCCTGCTTATTTGGTATCTGTCGTTTGCCTCTTTCTCACCATTGTCAATCGTTGCCCTCTACCTCACCATCACCGGCCGACCCTGCCTCACCATCGTCGACCGTTGCTTCTCCAACAGTTACCTCTGCCTCACCATCGTCGACCGTTGCTTCTCCAACAGTTACCTCTGCCTCACCATCGTCGACCGTTGCTTCTCCAACAGTTACCTCTGCCTCACAATCGTTGGATCTCGTTCTCGATCTGGATCTTGTTGCTGATTTGTTATTAGTTTCATTATTTTCTTTATCTTGTTATTGAATTTTTATTACAGATTTGTGTATGTTTTCTAATTTGGGGTTTCATTTAGTGATTCGTTTACAATTTTATGATTTGATATATAAATATTGTTGTTTTGAGAAATTTGATCTATAATGTTCAATGTAAAACCAAGGGTAGAATAATCATTTTCATTATTCACATAATTTATTCAATACAACAACCGAACAACAACTTATCTATTAACATACAGACAACTTTATCAATATAGACAACTCTATCCATACAAGTCTTGACAGAAAATGAACCCTAAGTCTTGATGCCAGTAAGTAGAGATCTATTTGATAATATATATATAGGTGTGCGTTCAACATATCCAATACAATATACGAACTTGAATCGTTTTATTATGAAACCCTTGATCATTATGGAAATTCTTAAATATGATGCGTATAAGATCAAAAGATTAGGTCATATTGAACCTTTAGTTGTTTGTATAGCAATATTCATAATAATTTACTAGATAATGTTTAAATGTCAAATTCGAACCTAATACCTAAAAGTTATTTAGACGAAAATATAACAAATTACGTTTAAAACAACTTCTTAAATCTTGATTGAACATAAAAAGCAAAAAATACACATTTGCACGTAATATATTTTGCTTTTCAGGGCCAAAAATGTTAATATATTATCTCAGAAAATTATATATATATATATATATATATATATATATTTATATTACAAGTTAGCTTTAGAGAAGAATAAAATCCGATTATTTTTATTCCGTTTATATTATTATAACTTATTAGATTTTAGAAATTTTCTTTTATTAGAAATAAATTTTAAGTCGGCTATATACCTTTTTACTTAGAAAATTCTGTAGTGAAGAATTCAATATGCAATAAATAAAAGTGAATTTTTTTTTAAATAATTATTTTAATTTTATATATTTGTTTTTTCCTTATCATTTTTCTCTTAAAATTTTAAAAATGTCACCATTGGTGAAGTAACTAATTTACAGATTTGATCCTTATATTTACATATCATGTTCGAAAACTTTATTTTTTACATTTTGATCCATCTATAAGTTGAGGAGTTACTACTTACGAATGTAGTGACATTTTTTAAAAATTTAGAAAAGAAATGTTTATTTTGAGCAATTTCCCATTTTAAAAATGCTTGCAAATTTTTATGTAACAGTTAATTCATAAAACTTATATTTCTTGTAGAAAATGTTAGGGGAGAATTAAGAGAAATCTAATGGATCCTATTTTCAGGGATTAAGTTTATAGACAATTTTTTTAAATGAATAAATCATAATACGTTATTATAACCTATAATATTGTCCAAGGATTAAAAAAATTGTTCAGGGCTTAAATTTTTTGTCCAAAGACTTTAATTACAAGTCTAGCGCATAATTATTATTAATTTGAAGTTGTAATAAGAAGCAAAACTCAGTGCCCACATCAACTGTTGAGGCTAAATATGTTACAGTTGGAAGCTGTTGCGCGCAAATCCTATGGATGAAAAACCATCTTAGTGACTATGATCTTCAACTCTTAAAGATCCCTATCTATTATGTTCGGCATTTCACTCGTATTTATAAGCAACATTTTTCGATATTTAACTAACATGTTTATTTTAACCGGTCACAATATTTTTTTGCTTTGATATATTGAACTTTTAAGACAAGGTGGGTAAATAGTATCGATAACATAATATTTAATAATAAAGTATTACTTTAAACATTCAATATTATGATTTAAAGGATATCAATCTATATCTGAAAAGTATATGTATTATACGATGGATTTGATGGTGGAATGGATTGTAGACGACTCGACGCTATGTATTGAAAAATATAAACCAACCACTATTGAATAATTGAGCGTCTAGAAATACTCGAAGCGATTAGAGATTGTTTTATATAAATTATTAGCGTTTTTTTTGTACTCGAGGGCTTTTTTTATGTTACGCCATGCGCTTATAAAATGTTAGGAGTAGGGGTCGACTATGGAGAAGAAGGCTCGCGAGGCAACTGATAGGGAGCAATATCAAAGATTATCCAATGCGGATATACTCAAGCACGAGTGATCTTAGACCTAGCTTCATGAGGTAGGGAATTTCGTTACTCCACCTTGTTGGTGATTTTAGTGAAAATAATGTTCTATTTTGTGTAATTGGATATATAAGAGAATATGGGGTGACTACTTAAGCTACAACACGTGTTAAGAGGCGTGGATTGCACTCATGCAAGCTAACTAGAATCCGAGATCGCTTGATGACGTCTTATGGGGGGATCAAGGGGGTCGTGCCCCCTATCAGTTATAGGGGCAGTGCCCCGCAACAGATATGAAATCAAAGAGAACGGGCACTAAATATGTGGTTAACACTAAATCGTTCCAAATCCAAACCTTTCCAAGAGATTCACAAACCAAACAGATTTCAAATCGTTCCAAATCCAAACCCTTCCAAGAAATTCAAATTATCAAAACCATTCAAAATACAAATTTTTTGTTTGTGCGATTTTGATCATAGTCAGGGGAGGGAAAAGGGGGCGGGTGGTTTCGTTGTAGAGGAGAGCGGGTGGGGTTGTGGATTTGGTGAGTGCAGAAAAGAAAATAAATTTATTAAAACTAAATAGAAAAAAAGACAAAAATGTAAAAAGATCAAAAACACCCTTGAATTAACAGATTTTTTTTAGCGGCAACTAATCAGAGAAACCAAAAATGTAACAAAGTGGCAGCCACCTATACCAAAAAACTAAGTTGGGACTATAGTTTAGAATAGGTGGCAACCACATGTACCAAAAATATAACTTACTAAGTCACTTACCTTACAGGGTATCGAGTGTCTTACCCAATGAGGGTTGTGATTATTACCCAATAAGCGCTTCCAGGATGATAAACACATACCAACAATCCAATCTGATGGCCGGGAATGTTCCTCGATAAGATAAGGGGGATATGTGACTCTTACATGTAAGTGCTTACATAAACGTTTGATAAACGGCCCTTTTAAGTATACTTTTAGGAGTTCTTACGGAAAGACAATAAGGCATCCCTTAAATGACATTTACCAGCTCCGGTTTTAACTATGTGCAGCCAACTAAACGCCTGAATAAAACTTCGACATCTGAGATGTTTTTATTTAACAGTCAGTGTAACATTTAGTTTTTATATAAAATATAATTTCAAATTTATAAAATGATTTTAACATTACGATAACAAAAACAGAATACAATAATAATTAAATATAAACAATCAAATAAGTTTTGTGGATTTTGGCCTTTGAAACAGCAACTACAGTCGGACAGAAAAGGAGGTTGAAAGAAACCAACATTCAAGATAACCACCCATGGAACAGGGTTCCTACCAAAAAGAAGAAACACAAATTTGCAACAGAATATGGAAATCAAAGGCAAGTAAACGAAATTGGAAGCCAAGAGAAAGTCAAAACAGTCAACCCCCATTCCTTCCTATTTGGGACATGAGTTGAGATATAAAAATTGGCACCTATAGAAGAACTAATGTTGCATATTCTACTTCATTTTCCAGCAACATCTATCACATATTTATTATTATGCATTACTGTATCACTTGAGTTAGTTTGTTTAAGCCTACCAACATGAAAGAAACCTACTTGGCTATATTATTATCAAATATGCATCACTTTTAACGAATTTGCTCAAGAAAAACAAGACTCCGAGATGGTCTAAAGCGTAATTTACAAAGGGATAAGAAATAACACATGTACCTGCTTGTAAACTACTACATATGACCAGTCAAAAAATGAAAAAATGTGTACACGTAACTAAGGTTGTGCAAACAACATTTTTGGACCTTAAAAGAAAGGAAAGGTGAACCTGACTTGTCAATATTTGATGACATTATGGCGCAGCCACAGATCGTACATGACCATATGAAAAGCATCATATGGAATGGGAGGTGTGTTCCATTGGAAGTGCTTCTGAATCTGCAGGGAAAAAAGAACTATTTCTTACTTGTTTATTTGCAAAAGGTTCACCAAAACATCAGCAAACATGTGTGTTTTTTACAGTAGTAAGCATACTCAAGCATGAAACGAAAACCAGGCAATTTCTCACCTTCACCAAATTGTTGTGGAGGGTGACAAATTGTTCATCGGATATGTCCTTGAGGATTTGTTTTAGCTGATACACATCTTTCTCCTCAAGTATCACCGAAAATTTCCCCCAATCAAGAATATCATTGAATGGCAGATCATAGTAATTAGACAGAATCACTGCAATTAATAGACACCAATTAGACAAAAAAACAAACAAACAAAAGCCGCTCAATCTCAAATAGACAGTTCTAATTAACCCTTCTACACCAAACTTGATATCCTACGGCTTACAATAAATTATTAAAAAATTTATGTTAACCTTCTTGATTATAGAATGTTATTTTATATGGTGTTTTAGTGCACTAAAACACAACTCCAGCCAAAACATCAAATATTACACTTAACATGGTGTAGTGATCTGTACCAAATTTGTAGTGTATTCATTATACTAAATTTTTATTAAATTTCATTTTAGCCTTATTGGTTATTGAATGTTATTTTACGCAATTATCACATTTTGATTCGTTCACATCATTTTGTTAACATATTTAGCATAAACGTCAATATTATTTTACACAAAATATATCATTACAAAGATCTTCACTAAGACCTTTAAAATGGGCTAATTGTTGAATATGATATTGAATTTATAGTTAATACTAGTAAGTGTCATACTTCATTATTTAATAATTAAGGCTGAATTCAAAACCATTCAGATTATTTAAAACATGAGTTAAATGAAATGTTTGAATGGTCCTATTTGTCTATTATTTACTTCTAAATTTTTAAATTTGTTAACGTTTCTTAAACTTAAATATTTAATTAAATTATATAACAAAACCAGTGAATAAAAAAATTTAAATAAAAAAGAAAATCAGAAATAAAAAAGAAATGCAAAAGAAAATCAGATCAAAGTTAAGAAGAATGAGCCAACAACCACATCAACGCTGTGCTCATTTTCTCTCTCTGCAATTCAGATCTCTTAAGTCATCTTTTTCTTTTGCAGGATTAGTAAAACATTACAAGTGATTTTTGGTTCTGGAAGAAACAACATTATCTAACCAAATCAGACATAAGTTTAGCATTACGTCTTTAATCCAAAAAACAAACACCCCACAACTCTGACCATTCAGTGTTTATATGGTATTACTCTTCATGTTGTGTGTGTAGATGACATTATCATTACAAGGAGTGATGATTTGGGACGATCATCTTTGCTATCCTTTCTTCACACACACACAATGATTCGGGATCATTTTACCACTTCTTGATAGTTGAGGTGACAAGAAGAAAGAGAGGCGTCATCCTATCTCAAAGAAAATGTATGCTTGATTTGTCGACAAGAAAATTAAGGGTTAAATCATCTGGTACTCTCATGGCACCTAATCTAAAATCACAAAAGATGCTGTACTCTCATGACTTATATAACAATAATGTGAAGTATAGGAGGCCAGTTCGGAAGTTGAACAATCTTAGCACACATACTCTTTTAGTGTTGTCTTCTCGCTAGGCTATGTTAAAACATATATTGTGTTGTCTAAAGGAGCTCTTTGACCAGACATATTAAATAAGTTAGTCACACTCGTATAGAGTATTTCCCTTTCTAAAATCAACTGAAAATCCGCTACCACTAAAGGTTACCATGTTTTCTTTGGAGGAAATTTAGTTTCATGAAAAAGCAAGAAACAAGATTGTGTATCTCGCTCTAGTGTAAAATCTAAGTATAGAGCTATGGTTCCATCTGCTTGTGAAATAATGTGGATACATCAATTATCAACTAGAGTTGGGAACTAAATAGTATAGTCACTAGGCCTCATATTTATCTTCATCATGCTCAATGACTCGGTGTTCTGCCTTCTATATTAACCCTTGGGATTATTAATGTACATTTAGGTAGCATTTGGTACGCAGACATGACTAGAGAGGACTGGACAAGAAGGTAGGACTGGACGGGACAAGACTGGACACAACAAATGTTTGTTTGGTATTTGATACGACTAGGACCGGACATGATAGAACAAGAAAAGTTGCACCAAAAGTAATTTGATGATTTGAGATATCATATAATAGTTAAAATTAACACAAATAAAGCAAATGATTAAATAATTTAATTTATAAACATTTTTACACAATTTTCATATACATAAATACATACATACATACATATATAATGGTGCCAAATAGGAATGAAAAATCTGATATGATTGATGGTAGTTCGAAAACTCGATTCATACAAAGGAGAAATTATGTTTTTTCGGTTTGGAAGATCCTTAACAATTGGTGAAAACACAGTGAAGATTGTTGCAACAGCAATGGTTGTGGACGTAGAGGCATTGGTGATTGGTGGACAATGGTGGTTGTATAGGACATGAAGATGGCGGATAGTAGTGGTGGTGGTTGTCGACAGTGGTGGAGGAGGTAGTAGTGGCCGATGGGGTGGAGGTAGTGGTGGTGGTGGTAGTAGCAAATGGTGGAGGTTATAGTAGAGTTGGTGTTGGTCATGGTGGAGGAGGTTGTTGCAGTGGAAGAGAAGGTGGAGGTGGCTAAAGGTGGTAGTGGTGGTGTCCATGGACGGTGGTGGTCGGTAACCGATGTTGGTTGTGGAGGTGGTGGAAGAGGTTGTTATAGTAGAGGATGAGACAGAGGTGGAGGTGGCAGACGGTGGTAGTGGTGGTGGCAATGGATGATTGAGTTCGGTGGTCGACGATGGTTGTAGAGGTAGCGATGGACGGTGGTGGTCAATGGTCGATAGTGGTTGTGGAGGTGGTGGAGGAGGAGCTTGTAGTTGAAGCGAAGGTGGCCAATGGTGGCTACCATGGCCGAGGTGGTTGCGGCGGCCGCGACTAGCGGTGGTGACCGCTAAAACAAATACCATAATATGGTTATATATCAAACGAGGGTAGATTAGTAATATTTTAGTTTCTGTCTCTTGTCCCAAATAGGTGGAACAAAAAGAGCCTTTTTTGTCTTCCGATGTCCCACCTTGTCCCAGTTATTGTCCATGTCCTATGTCGTGCCAAACGTGAGACAGTGGGTGCTTATCCTGTCCCATGTCATGCCAAACGTGGGACAGTAAGTTTTGTCCTGTCCTGTCCTGTCCTGTCCCATCCCATCCCATGTACCAAACGCAACCTTAAGGGTTCCTGAGGGCAAGTTCTTACATACAACTAAGAACCACAATAAAGCTAAAGGGTTATTTAGATGCAAATGATGTGAGATTTTCATATTAGGACTACAACCTTGTATCCCGGAAGTGTAACAAAGCAAGATGGTGTTTCTCTTTTCAGTCTAGAATTCAACTATCATGTTACCATGCAAACATCATGTGAGCCTACTTGGTTTCAAAGTTTGGTACAACCCTCGGGTGATCCCACACCCCGCTTGATGGAGATGTATTGTGATAGTGAGGCAGGTATGACATCTTCAAGAATCATCATATGCATACCAAATATATTGAGGTAAATTGGTCGCATGTTCGTGAAGTGATGGCCTTGTCAAGAACTTCCTCCTCAGTGCCCAGTTGAGTGCATCAGGGGTTCATGACAAAGCATTGTTGTAGGGCTTAAATTGATCATATATGTAACACCTTGGGCAATGCAAGGAGTGTTGACAAAATAGGATATCTAGAAATTGATATCGTACTCTAGGGTTTAGACCCACTACCACCTTGTACTCGTACTCTATGTACTTCCTTTTGCTTCTAAATAATATATACATACTTCCTAATTACCATTTTAGCTTAGTAGTTATGTAAAACTTGAGTTTATCTAGATAACATATATTTTATATGGATTCATTTGGTTCTTTTGATTCTTGCTCGAGCCGRATGATGAAAAATTATCATGTCTGGTTCCTTCGGGGGATGGATCTATAAGAATTCACCTATCCCAATAACAAAAATACCTGACTTGAATGATCTTGTATTAAGAGCTAAATTGGCTAAAGGTACGGGTCATAATTATTACAGGGAGCCCACATGGCCCAATGATCTTTTATATATTTTTYCGGTAGTAATTCTAGGTACTATTGCATGTAACGTAGGCTTAGCGGTTCTAGAACCATCAATGATTGGTGAACCGGCADATCCGTTTGCAACTCCTTTGGAAATATTACCTTTCAATTAATAGATAGAACCTTAATGAAAACAAAAAACCCTGTATATTTGAAGCCTTCAGAATATGCGAATAGAATGGATTGTCATGTAACGTCTTGTTAAGCCACCGATATTGCATACATATTCGAGAAGGAAGAAATAACAGGGGTATTATGGTATTCTTTTACTTGGGCAGGAAAATTAGTGAAAATAGGTGGGAAGGGCGCTAGAGTATAAATCAGAGTCTGTATGGTGAAGTAAGTAATTCATTCTTTTTCTCGATAACAATTCTGATGGAAGGAAATCGACCTCTCAAAAGTCGATCTTCTGAAGAAATCCTATAACCCTACCTTTTTGGTGTGAATTGCGAATTGTCTTTTTAGTTACATGTAACAATTAACAAATTGGTATGAGAGCGGTTTGAATCAGTGATGGCGACCCAATCAATAACAAATCAAGTCGAAGATTTTTCAAGGCAAAATTGAATCGCTGGAAGGGAGTGTGCAGGTGATGGTGTAACAGATGAGTACAATGATTCGGTTACAGGATGCGGTTACAGGATGAGTTGAGTCGACGGAATGCAAAAAATGGAGAATTATCGCAAGAAGAAGAAAGACGGACTAGAGTATATGAACGATTGGATGATAACGGATCGTTTCTTGCAATCAAAGGCCAAAGGTTAGAGATACCGGTGTTTGATGGATCGGATCCAGATGGATGGATTCTTAGGCCGATCAGTATTGCAATTTGAACAGATTGACAAATGAAGGAGTACACATTGAAGTGGTATCAATGGGAAAATAAGAGGCGACCAATTCTGAAAAAACCCTTTGTGAACAATTCTTGGCCGTTAAACAGGAGGGAACTGTGGCCGATTATAAACGGAAGTTTGTATCGGTAGCAACACCATTGGAGGGAATCCTAAGGAGGTGTTTGTAAGCCAATTCGTCAATGGTCTACAACCTGAAATTCAAACAGAAGTACGGTTGTTATCGCCGGTAGGACTGAACAAAACTATGGAGGTGGCAGCGAGGGTAGAGGAAATAAATAAGGCGGTTCACCGTTGGGTAGTTCAAAGGTATCTATACCTTTGAGGAGGAAAACCTTCGTTACAAATCAGAAGAAAAGAATGAAAATGAGGGTGAGATGAAGGTTGGAAATGATGGTAATAGAGGAACAAATGAATATTGCAGATTGTCCGATAAAGAATTACAACGACGTCATCAGCAAGGGTTGTGCTATTGATGCGACGAGAAATATGGCCATGGACATCGTTGCAAGAAAGAAAAAAGAGCTTAACATTGTGGTATTGCAGGAGGTGACGGAGGGGGCAGAGAAGGAAAGAGAGGAACATGCTGGCAGCGACTTAGAATTGGCAAATGCAATTAAAGAACCAGGGATAAAGGTGTCTTTAAATTCAGTCGTGGGATTGACAATCCCTAAAACAATGAAATTAGAAGGGCTTGTGGGAAATCAGAAGGTTGTAGTGTTAATTGATAGTGGTGCTTCGCATAATTTCATTTCATGAAATGTGGTTGAGAGAGTGGGCCTTCCTGTCTACCCTACCAATGGGTATGACATATCTATGGGAAATGGGACAGCCGTATTGGGACAAGGGCTGTGTAAAGGGGTGAACGTGTGGATGCATGGAATTGAAATCAAGGGGGACTTCTTACCACTGAAATTGGGAAATTCCGATGTAATCTTGGGAATTCGGTGGTTGGCTTCTTTGGGGTCGATGCAGGTGAACTGGAAAACTCAAACCATGAAGTTTCAATGGGCACAAGAGTCGGTTCAAATTCAGGGAGATACGGCTCTTGGAAGAACTTTGGTGTCTTTTAAAGCTATGATGAAAACAGTCTGAATGGAAGGGCAAGAGATATTAGTCAAGTTGGACAGTTTAATGGAGGAAAGATGTACCTTGCAGACAGAATGTTCCGAGGTCATCAGGGAGGTATTGGAAACGTACCAACAAGTATTCCAAAGTCCTATAGGATTACCACCCGAACGAGGGAAGGAACATGGGATTACATTGAAAGAGGGAGTGGAACCTGTGAATATTCGCCCTTACCGATACCCACATTTTAAGAAAGATGAAGTGGAGAAATTAGTGAAGGAAATGCTAAAAACGAAACCATACGACCAAGTCGGAGTGCCTTTTCAAGCCCGTGTTGTTGGTTAAAAAAAAAGATGGAAGCTGGCGTTTTTGCATTGATTATTAGAGCATTGAACAAAGGCACGCTCCCGGACAAGTTTCCCATTCCAATAATTGATGAATTATTGGACGAATTACATGGGGCTTGTTTCTTTTCCCAAATAGATTTAAAGGCGGGTTATCATCAGATTAGAATGCGGGAAGAGGATGTGCACAAGACTGCCTTTCAAACGCATGAAGGGCATTATGAGTTTTTGGTAATGCCCTTCGGACTTGCGAATGCCCCGGCTACTTTCCAATTCTTGATGAATGAAGTGTTTAAGCCGTTCATGAGAAAAATTTGTATTAGTATTCTTTGACGATATATTGTTGTATAGTAAGACAGAAGACGAGCATTGTGGGCATCTATGAATGGTATTGCAGAAACTAAGGGAACAACATTTATACGCCAACCGGAAAAAATGTGAATTTGGTAAGGAAGAAATTGGGTATTTGGGACATGTTATTTCAAAGAAGGGGGTAGCCATGGATAAATCCAAAGCGGAGGCAATGTTACAGTGGCCGCAGCAACATACGATTACTCAATTGAGGGGTTTTTTGGGGTTAACAGGATATTACAGGAAGTTTGTTGTTGGGTATAGGCAGATTGTCAGGCCTTTGACCGAATTGCTTAAAAAAGGTTTGAGTGGGGTTTACAGGCTACTACAGCGTTCGAACAACTTAGAAAAACTCTGACCACAGCTCCTATACTCGTGTTGCCGGACTTCACCAAGCCTTCTGTGATTGAAACGGATGCTTCAGGAGGAGGATTAGGGACAGTGTTAATGCAAGAGGAAAGGCCCATAGCTTTCTTTAGTCAGGTGTTAGACACACGGGCTAGTCAAAAGGCGATTTACGAAAAGGAATTAATAGCAATTGTCTTTGCCATTTTAAAATGGAGACTATCTTCTAGTTAGGAAATTTATAGTAAGAACAGACCAACAGAGCTTGAAATTTTTTTTTAGAAACCGCGGGTGATTGAGCCACAATACCAGAAATGGGTGATCAAGTTGTTGGGATATGATTTTGATATTATTTACAAACCGGGGATTGCAAATAGAGTTACGGATGCTTTATCACGCAGAGGTGTGGAGTGTTTGGTGATGGGGGGCCCTCAATGGTGTCAGTGGGAAGTGATCAAGAAAGAAGTAATTGATGATTCCATTCTTGGAAAGATCCGAGAGGAATTGCTTGTGGGAGCTACTGTACACAAGGGTTTCACCGTTCGTCAAGGGTTGTTGTGGTACAAAGAGCAGTTGGTGCTTTCTAAAACTTCTTCTTTGTTACCTGTTATATTGGAGGAGTTTCACAGCTCACCAATAGGCGGCCATTCTGGGGAAGAACGGCCGATCCAAAGGATAACGTCATAATTATTTTGGATGGGGATGAGAAAGACATTAAAGAGTTTGTGAAGGGGTGTGCGATCTGTCAAAAAAACAAAATTTTGAGTGGAACTCTTGCCGGCTTACTGCAACCAATTCCTTAGATAATGCGGGTATGGGATGAGGTTACCATGGATTTCGTGGAAGGTCTTCCGAAGTCCGAGGGAATGGATACCATTATGGTAGTGATGGACAGGCTCAGTAAGTTTGCATATTTTATGACTCTTAGACACCCATTCATCGCGCCACAAGTAGTGTCAGTATTCACTAAGGAAGTAGTACAATTGCATGGAGTTCCCCAGATCATTATAACAGACAGAGATAAAGTGTTCCAGCGTTCCTAAGTCTATTTTGTAGGGGAGATTTTTAAATTGCAAGGAACGAAGCTGTGTTTTTCTACAGCTTACCACCCACAGTTTGACGGTCAATCGGAGGTAGTTAACATAAGCATTTGCATTGTTTTGTGTCTGAAAAGCCCAAACAATGGCAAAAGTGCTTAATTGGGCAGAGTATTGGTATAGTACTATGTACCATGCATCCTTGAATTGTTCCCATTCAAAGCTCTGTATGGTAGAGAATCCCCTACTATCCTAAAGTACAGAGAAGGGGCAACCCATGTCGATGAGATGTTATTGGAAAGGGGCAACATGTTAGATGATCTAAGGCTACATTTGATCTGTGCACAACAGAGAATGAAGGGTCAATCAGACATGCACCGTAGGGAGGATTCGTTTGAGGTGGGGGATAAGGTGTTTCTGAAATTGAGACCTTATCGACAGCAGTCTACGCAAACGACGAAATCAAAAGTTGTCTGCTCGTTTTTATGGGCCTTTTGAAGTATTGGAATGCATAGGCAAAGTGACAACATCAAGAATACATCCCGTTTTTCACATTTCACAACTTCGGTGTGCCATTGGACAAAGTTTTTTGAACTCGGATAATTCCCACTCAGTTGACTGAGGAGATGGAGTTACAAGTGGAACCCGAAGTAGTTTTGCAGTATAGAACAACGAATGAAGGAAATTCTGAAGTTTTGATTAAGTGGCGCGATTTACCACTGTTTGAGGCATCAGGGGAAGATTGGGAAGCGATTAATGCACAATTTCAAAAATTTCACCTCAAGGACAAGGTGAATGATTTGGGAGGGGGTATCGTTAAGCCACCGATATTGCATAGTGCATACATATTCGAGAAGGAAGCAATAACAGGGGTATTATGGTATTTTTTACTTGGGCAGGAAAAATAGTGAATATAGGCGGGAAGGGCGCTGGAATATAAAACAGAGTCTGTATGGTAAAGTAGGTAATTCATTCTTTTTCTCGATAACAATTCTGGTGGAGAGAAATCGACCTCTCGAAAGTCGATCTTTTGAAGAAATCCTATAACCCTACCTTTTTGGTGGGAATTGCGAATTGTCTTTTTAGTTACATGTAACACGTCTTTCCATACTTTTTTCTACATGCATGACACATGATATTGCCATAACTAAGCTTGTCAGGACTTCCTCTCTCTCTCTCTCTTTGTGTGTTAAATAAAGACATTTTTATTACTTGTTTGGACAAGTTGAAGAACTGCTCAAGTAATTAACATGAAGATAAATCTTTAAAGCTGAATACAACTTTGATGTTAATGTTGTGTATAGTTTGTCGTATTTATAGATCTCCCAAGTAAAATCAAATATATATGTTTTAATGATCTGCAAACAAACTAAGATGTATGGGGAGTCCAAATTATGAGCTATGTTTTAGCATGAATGATCTATGCAACCAAGTATTATATGATCTGGGACATTTGGCAACAACTCTGGTAAGAGCGAAAGGAGCATGATTCATACTCGTTACATACAGCAAGAAGATGCAGGTACCTACCTGGAATACACCCGTAATGGATCGAATCTGCAATACGGGCACTGTTCACCTGTGAACCACCAGGGCAGATGCAAAATTTGGTTCTATAAAACCTCTTCTGATATACTAGATGCCCAGAAGCTCTATTTATTCTGTTGTTTGAAATGTCAAGTTCTGTGTCATTCTCCCATGTGCGTGCCAGGATCACTCTAATCTTGGAGTTTCTATGACCAGCCCAGAAACCAAGTGTTGTCCTGCAATGTACATGTCAGTTCTAAGTGATGATGTGCCTGATGACAGGATTTATTTAAAAAAACAGCATTAGCATTTGTTTTCCATACACTAAGTAGAAGTTATTCATCCTAAAAATAAAAAATAATTAATTAAAAAGCAAATACAGATTCCATCACATGCACCAAACATGCATAAAATATCAAATACACTTTGCAAGATGATAAGTATATATATATATATATGCATAGAATAGTACCATTGCAGGATGAACTTTAAGGTCGTGTGACAGATTAACAAGCACACTCCACCAAGCTACCATGTCATCACTCTTTCCTAACTTCAGTAGTCATGACGATTACATGCTAAACGTGGCATCTTATAGAAGTAAGGAACTCAAAACTGAGAGACAAATGTAAGCATAAAAAATCTCGAGAAAAAACATGACTTTTGGTATGCTTGCACTTGTACTCGTCACTACTCATTTTGGATGTACAAAGGGATAAACTACTATCTCATATGTATTTTCTTGATCTGCCAATTTTCCCAGACTCCCTGTACTCAACACCTATCGTATGATAGAAGTGAAGATGGCTTAATGTCACTAATTGGTGAATCCTAATAGTACCCACATAACGGTTTGGGATTCTTAGCACATACATTATTACTAACTCCTGATTGCCATGCTAAGATATTGTTATAGAATGATGTAATTTTCATATAATTCTTTCTCTTAACTGTCAAACTAAAGTTGGCCCTAACGCTTTGAAACAGATGGTGTAGGCAAAATGCGCAAAATAAAATTGTGGAAATATCGGTAACAACTAATGACAATTGCAGAACAACCACATTATGGAGCTACTGTAGTAACAAAGAAAACGGTACAGCAGCTTAGTGACAAGAAAAAAGGAGAAAAGCATGTCCAAACCAATTACTAGGGTAAACGAGAATACATAATTATATACCAGAATAAAACCTGTTTTCAATATCATCTCCACCACGTGGAAGAGCAAAGGGCTGTAGTACTTGAGGAAGAGCAATATCTTTGTGTGGGATAAATCCAACGTCATAACTTGGGGAACACACAGCTCGTATTGAATTCTTTACAAGAAGTGGAAGTCCCTCGGTTGCCCTTACACCAACATCGTGGCAAGTGACAAAAAAATGATCAGCACCCAGGGTTCTGTTCCAGTAAGGATACTTTGATATCAAGCTTTCCACATAATTTTGTACGATTATAGTCATGTTTTCATATGAAGTTCCCTGCATGTTGTTGCAAAAGATCACTAGAACTACAATATATCATGTATCTCAAGTCTCAACAGAAGCAAAATTGAAGAATAAAAGCTACACCCCACTGGAAAAATATTGTGCATCACAAGTTGCTTCTACATATAAACTTCAGGAAAGTAGCATACACGAGGTAGAGTTCAGAGACAACATCTATGTGTCAAGTTCCTCAATAATAAAAAGACGATATTTATTGTTGACTTACAATGTCCTCTTTTCTTTTCATCCATGTATCAAGTTCCAGATGTAGTTTAACTTCACTTATCTCAAATCAAGATATTGCCATGTTTAACATATACTAATATCTACTGCAAGCATGCACCTAACTTGCCTACTTTGCACCTGGGTCTATGGATCACTGATTTTCCAGGGTCCACCTTTCATCTTACCAACTGTCTTTGCACCCAATCTTGTATTACACAAGATAGAACGCATTGTGTACTCTTCATCTCCCAAGACTATTTAACACGGCTGGTAATTATGCTAAATTATTGTGTGTCATGTGTTGCTTTAGTGCAGAATGTACATTTACTCCATCCATTGTTACACTGCAATAGCAGCAGACTATGTGATCCTGCTATAATTTGAAATTCACTTTAGCTGTAATTTTAAAACTATACTGTGATAAACAAATCAACAGATTTAAGGCATTTATTCTTTCCCATTTCTTTCAATTACCAAAATTTTAAACCACAACATTTTACTGTGTTCATGTCGGAAGCATTTTATAAGTTTTGATATATCACCCACAAAAACTACAGAGCAATAAAGTTTATTTTAACAATAATCTTGATCTATCACCCATAGCAAACTTGCTATATCACCTCCTACAATAACAAAATCCTGCCAATCACTTACAAAATTATAGAACATCATAAATTTCTAGTGGTCTTTTGCATATCAACTCCCATAATGCAATTAAGCAATAACCTTAGCAGATACATAAGAAAAATATATCAACATACCTTTCCCCTCATCTTATGACACGAAATTGGTATGAAAAACAAGTGAGCCTGATCTGGATCATCTGTCTTAAACCGACTCTCTCTAATATTCTGGAAAAAATACCCCTCACTGGCATACTTCCCAGTGAGTTTCCTGGGCGTTTGATAAAAGGTCTTTGGATCCCCATCTGGATATATATAAACTTTAAATCTCTTCTCCATCTCCGCATAATTCAACTTAAATACCTCCGGAGAATGATATACATCCGAAAACCCATCCGATTTTGTACTTGCACCGTCCTCCACATCCACATCCTCCTGTTTACCATTTTAAAGTCGAAAAGATAAGAATTATAGCATGTAACACAACGATATGCACAGATCAAGATTCCGAAATAGCGAGTACCTTCAATGTAGAAGCAGCAGTCAGTGTTGTTGTAGGGGGTGGATAAGAGTAGTTGTATTGGAGAGTAGAACCTAAGGAAGTGAAAGATATGTAACTGAATGTAAGTAGGGTTAGGGTTGAAAGGATTAGGATTAATCCTTGTTTTGTAGAGATGGCGGTGAAAGAAGGTGGTGATTGCGATGGGAGAGGCTTCGCCGCCGACATTCGTGAGATGAGTTACCCTCAGAAGTTATAGGTTTCCGGTACCGGCGAAAAATTATCGCGATTTTATCAACAGTGGCAGTAGATTGAAGGAGACGAGAGTTGAGTAGGAAGAGTGTTGGGATGTTCAAGATGCGGTGATCTAGTTTCAGTTGTCCAAATTTCCCCCATTTAGATCCCCCATTTGTTTTTTATTTTATATATGATTATAAATATTTTAATTCAAGAATCCTATTAGCAAGTATTAAAATGTTGATATCATTTACCGAATACTGTATAATTAACTTACTTTTAATTGATTAATTAGAAAAACATACATTAAAGTTAGGAAAAATTGCATCAACGTAACCACTAGAACTAACTTTTAATTAATTTTTATTTTGAAAATCAACTTTCAAAATCTTTATTTAGAGGTTTATATCAAACTTTTTGTTTATTTAAGAGTATGATTTAACTTGTTGACTTACTAATGGTGTATCATCCAATTTTTTTGTCAACTAAGACTCCATGTCATTATTGTAGTTATAAATATAAATCTAAAATGCTGACATGACTTGTTGCTTGGGGTTTCTTTTGGGACTTTATTGGGATATTATTTATGGGTAATTAAAGGATAAACAAAGTGGTTTTAGTGGGTTTTAATATCGAATTTTGTTCGATAGATTCAAATGTTCGGTGTGGGATTTCGTAACTGTTTGAGCTTCTTTTAGGCTTGTGGACTATAGGTGAGTTCTCTTTCCTCAATTTTATAGCATGGTGATCTTTTGTAAATGTTTATTGATTATGTTTTTCATGCATTGATGTCTTTAACATACAAATTACTACTTTGTACAACGGAAGTTCATTGGATGATATGTGGATATGTGTGTTTGCACAGTGGGAGTATGGTATCTTGAGATGGTGCTATCTTTTGGGAATGATAATCTATGTGCCTTGAATTCGTTTCTTGTGCATGTTGGATAGACATTTATTGGGCCTGGATTCTGAATGTCATGATGGTGTGGCTACAAACATTGTGCAAAGTCTCTATGTGGAATATGTGCATAACTACTTCATTATGTGTTTCCATATCAAGTTTCTATTTTAAATGTTTTAACTGTCGAAGGTGAAAATAAGCGAATTCATTAGACTTTTTTACCTTTTTTCGAATCTAAACCATTTTCAGGTAAGTTTCATGTGGAGAGTTCCTCATAGTCAATCGGCAAACGGTGGAGCACTGGTGGAATTGGTTAGTGCCTCAGTCATAGATTTGTTCTAGTTCTCTAAATATCCCAATCGTTAGATATTGTTTCCCAGTTGTGAATCTCTTATGATGAACCTGAGAAACTCTCTCTTGTGAGTCATTGGTGTCGATTGGCTATTTATATTAATTGTTGTTATTTTAGATTTGCGTCGTCACAACAGTCAAGCCATGAGCTATAAAATATAAGGGGAGGAACTAGGTTGTTTCACCTTGAAGTTGGCGTTCTCATGTGTAGCTTCTTTTTGGAATGTGACATACGGTCGGCTGGAAAATGTAATTTTGATAGTCTAAGGTGTTGTTTGTTTTTTAAGAATTGTTGAAGTCTGAAGTTTTATTTCACTTCTAATTGATAAGAGATGTTGTTGAAACCTAAAAGCAAAATCAATAAGACTGTTTGTTTTTTGTAAACTGATAAATGTATGATTTGTTTAAATTGTCTATTTTACCCATTAGAATATACAGTGTTGAATTTATCAATAAATTTATATAACTTCACATATTTATTCATCATCACCGTTACGATATTTACATCTAAATTATATAATTAACAGTCATTTAAACAAAACTATGTCATTGATGATATTTAACACATTTAAATCCTATTAAAATACATCAATTGAGAAATGTGAGGATTGATTAAGGTTAATCGGTTGAGAGCATCGTTGCTAAAAATATGGAGAACAATAAGAAACAAATAAAATGTTGGTTTACCTCTTATTAGGACGATAAAACATAAGTGTTTGAAAATTTGGAAAAATAAAAAGTCATAATGACCCTATCTCTTTGCAATGTAGGCACCGGAATTATTACCTTCTTTAACTAGCCTCTTATGGAATATGTTTCTAACAAACAACCAATCATATGTTTATGTTGTCACAAGTGTTTCATAATATTATGTTTGGAATTTTTTTAAGCTATTCAAATCGAGCATGAATCTTTTTTGAGTCGTGCTTGAGCCTGCACTAAGAATACGCTATCAAATCGAGCTTGCATGAGTTTTGCTAAATAAACCTATATATATATATACTAAAATAATAAGAAAATCATAAATAGTTGTCATTTGGACAACAAAATTGTGTAACCACAAGGATGGTGCCTGATTGTTTTGAGCTTGACTCCAAAGGTCAAAAGCACCAGGAGATCCCGGGTTCAATTCCAATGAGGAATAAAAATCCCCTTGTGGCTACGGAGGTTCAAATGCGGTGACTTCGGGATATCTACAAAGCAGATGGTCGCGCTGAGATTAGTCAGTTCGCATAGCGAGTTGGATATCCATGTTAATAAAAAAAAATTGTGTACATAAACATAGAGTTAATTCTAGAAGTACAATATGAACAAGAAAAAAAACCCGGACTTATTTGCTGACGGTTGTGAAATAAAATCAAGAAGCAATGATGAATTGGATTGGAAGATGTTTGAAACTAGGGTATTTGTATGGATACGATGTTACATCAAACAACATGTTGGTTACACATGTTTGTTGTCGTCATCTATTTTGGTTTGACGATTTAGACTATGTACAAACTTAGGAAAAGTTGTTTCCATGTAACATTTTTATGGGTGACAATAACATATTTCAGTTGTCACTTTTTTTTTTATTAACCTGAATATCCAACCCGCTGTGCGAGCCGACTAATCCCAGTACGACCACATGTTTTGCAGATAGCCCGGAGTCACCGCATTTGAACCTCCGTGGCCAAAAGATGATTTTTATTCCTCCTTGGATTTGAACCTGGTACCTCAAGATACTTTTGACCTTTGGAGCCAAACTCAAACCAATCAAACACCACCCTTGTGGTTAGTTGTCACTTTTTACATTAAGTTATGAGCAGAGTCCAAAAGTCCTAAAAAATTTAACCATGATGGATAGGTCACACAACTACACAAGTACAAGTAATATTAAAAAAAGCCAAAAGAGACTCTAACTGAATAAGGTCGTGCCAGAAGGTGTATCAATGCAAGATTCCGAGTTGAGCCTTAAAATTTGTGGGCCCCTGAACTTTTTTGGAGGCCAATTATATATTTTAGTTTGTATCCAATTATATATATTTTGGTTTTTAGTCAATGATTTACCTCAATCCCTCTTATTTTAGCTCATTTCAATAATTATATAGTTTCGCAATTTAGCTCAACGCCCCATTCCCTTCCTTCTTCTACCAAGTTTGTTGATTCGTCAATTTTAACGCAAATATGCAATCATTTCTCTTGGTTTGAAGATTGAGCTCTCCTAGGTCACTAGAATCGTTCATATTTGTTTTCTGATGACTGATTGTATGATTAAAACACCAAGCAAGATCTTATTTAAGATCTTATTTGATAACCTTTCTCTTTCTTGTTCTTTGTTTCTCTTTTCTTGTTCGATGAGCAACCTCACATGCAATTTGTTGACTTCATTCATCATGATATTGATCATCATTATACTGAGCACCATAGCCCTTAATAGCTTGCAAAAAAGTTGGTAGTTAAGGGAGTGTTTTGGATCTAGAATTGAGATGGCGTTTCTAAAGAACTTGAGATAAAAAATAGTCGGTAAACTTCTGTATGTTAGTCTTTTAGTTTAACGACTTATTGGGGAAAGTTAATTATGACGAACTTATTGGAGATTTTGTTTCCAACAATGTTAGAAAAGCAAATTTGTTTAAATGAATTTTGTAATTCTAAGACATCTTTATTGTTTTAATTCGTAAGATCTTTAATATAATATATGATATGAACTTTTATATTTTGTCTTGGTATAAATATAACAAGGTCCCTATAATATGTTGTTGAGTCTATTATATACAACATGCTAGTAGTTAGTGTGACACTGTGATGTACATCTTTATGGTAAAATATAAGTGTTACAAAAAGCCCAATAAAACGGATCAAGACACAATAAACCGAATAAAACCCAATGAAATCATTTAAGGTCCAATAAAATCGAATAAAACCCAAACAACACACGCATATTATCTATACATCCATATATACACAAACATTTAAACATATATATATATATATATATATATATATATATATAGG